TCCAGAGCTTTAGCAAAAGATTCCGCTCCTTGATCACCCACATGATTTTTACAGAGGTTCAGTATGATTAGCGTCTGTTTGCAAGAGGCACTGAACGACATATACAGAGAAGATGGGAGTATCACTTCGTTCCGTTCGAGAGTTTTGGCAAGATGCTGTATTCCCTGTTCATCAATCCGATTCCTACTGAGGTCTAGTGTGGCTAGTGCCTGTTTTGAACATTCAATAAATGAAGGATACAGAAGATTGCAATATTACTTGGTTTTGTTCTAAAGCTTAGACAAGAATCTCCACTGTTTGATTATCGATACATCCCCTATTGAGGTCCAGTGCGGTTAGTGTCTATTTATAAACGGCAGTGAGTAATCGGTAAGAAAAGTGAGAGAACATTACATGATTACCAATATAATTGTTACTGAGATGCAGTGCGGTTAGTATCTATATTGAACAGGCAGCGAATGATAAAGAGAAAAGAGGGGAATATTACTTGGTTTTGTTCGAGAGCTTTTGTCAAGAATTCTATTCCTTGTGAACCGATAAGATTGCAATTGACGTTGAATGTGGTGAGTGTCTGTTATGAACATGTAGTGAATGGTAGAGAGAGAGATAGAAGGTGTAGGTGTCATTTGATTTTGTTCGAGAGCTTCACCTAAATGTTGTGCTCCTTGATCGCTAATATGATTGCTATTGAAGTTCAGTTTGATTAGCGTCTGTTTTGAACCGACGTTGAATGGTAGACAGAGAAGGTGGTGTTGTTACTTGGTTTTATTTGAGAAGCTTCGCCAAGATATTGCGCTCCTTGACTGCCGATTTGGTTCCAAGTGAGTTACAGTGTGGTGAGTGTCTGTTTTGAATATCTCATGAATGATTCATAGAAATGGTGAGGATATTATTTGGTTTTGTTCGAGAACTTTACGAAAATGTTGTATTCCATGTTTATCGATTTGATTGCTATTGACGTTTAGTGTGGTCAGAGTCTATGTGTGAAATCTGAAAGGTGAGAATCTTGAAAGGATTCGCAAAGGGATGTTCTAATGGGATCTATGGTCAGTACTCGTTGATTCAATCGGAAAATATTTGATTCAGTTCATCGATATCGGAATGAGATTTTTTTAACAAAAGAAACAGTAAAAACATTAGCAGGTGCATAAAGTTCTGTACTGTGTTTAAGGTATCTGGAAAATGGTGTGAATGCATTGCGCGTATTCCGGAACTCGTGACAGAATAGTTAAGCTCACTATTAGTTGACAAAATTCCTGAATAGTAAGCCCTGATACTCGGCCATATTGGATGAATTATAAAGAAAATTTCTCGTCGGTGCAAAGAATTGTTCCGTCGAACTCTTGCGTTTATTTGTGAAGCATTATCAGAGTTGCCTGTACTGCTTTTAGTAATGTGCAGTAGAAAGAAACTGCTCATAGGTGGATATGGAATTATTATGCATGAATGTTGTTAAAACTCTCTTCCCGTGAAGGATCGATATTAGCCGTGTTTTTCTAGATCGTTATAAATGACGGTTTTGGAAATGTAGTTTTCAATTATCGATTCGCTTATGATGTTATTCAGATTAGCGTCATCTGAATGAATGATGATCGTTTTCGATAGTCTTGGCTTTTTACTGCTGGCGGCTTTTTTAGTTAAATCCAATGATTATCAGTGGCTGATCAAAATTTACGCATTGCACAAAAAACATAAGTTGTTTTGAACCAGTCTTAAAAATTTATTTGCTTCGATCTAGTGATGGATGATCAGTCAAGAAAAATACTCCAGTGAGATAACATATATATATTGAGATCTCAGATAAATGAATAATGTGTTCAAGACGATAAAAATTAAATTTTCAAATATAATTGTGTTTTACCTGATATCGATAATAAATGTCGAGAATTGCATTCATACGTGTACAAATGTTTCGTGTCGAACATGAAAACTTGAAATCATTCAGATGATCAAGAATTCGGCAGATGAGCTCTACTAGAAATGTATGAAGAGTTGGAATAGTCTTGGTCGACATCGATGAAAGTATTTGCGATGTTTGCGATATTGAAACGTATGTTGAATATATGCTATGTTTAGTAGGAGTTTTTACATTCAAATGTGTTTATAATAGTTTTGTGTCGTAAGTTTCTTGTGCTCTTGCAATTACTTGTTTAAACAAACAAATGCAAAGTAATGGTGAATCATGAAAGCGTCATGGTAACAACCAGAGATGTCCACAGGGTGAATTTTTACATCCTGCTCTGCCATGTACCTTGTCCTCCTCCTACCCTGCCCTGTTAACAAGAAAATAAAAAATAAAAAATCTACCCTGCCCTGCCCTGCTTGTCTGGATCGAGCAGGGCAGGGAGGGTACCCTGTAGACTCGATATACTCTCTTATTGCGGTTTTTAATTCAGTTCAACAGCAACAATGTTTAGTGTATTATATCATAGAAAATTGATTTATTTAAATCTATTTCACAATATCAATGACTAACAATTCAGCTAACAAAATGTATGAATATTACCGAACGCAAGACAAGTAAATGGCATAATATACGCAACCTAGGCTCACAAACTTTACTATAGATCTTCATCTGAAAAAGAAGTTCAACACAAAGAACAACAAAAACTATATGACAGCTACTATCAATAAGAAAAAAACAAAAAAAATACATAATTTATTTTTATATAAAACTTTTTCTATTGATTGTATAAATAAAATGTTTTCTAATTTATTTGGTTGAAGATGAGTTCTCCTTTCATTTAAGATCCAACCAACAGTAGAAAATTCTCTTCTACGTTAGTTGTCGTTGCAAGAATAGACAAGGGACAAACACACTTATCGCCCCCCCCCCCCCCCGTCATTTATTGACCTAACTCGACTAATTAGCCTCTGAGGAGTTCATTAAAAGTATTCCCAANAAAATCAGGCATTTGGGAAACCTCAAAACTACTGGTCATCTGAGACACATCTAGGCAATTTGGTGATAAAAAACACAGTGAATATACCTTTTCACTTTTTGAAGTACACATAACACTCGGATTTAAATCCGAGGTTTTCGCATTTATTTTTCTTTTCTATGAACAGGGTTTCTGATTGTTGTTGGATGAGGGAGGCATGGCTAAAAGTTTGGCAGTCTTTTATTTTTCTGCAGAAAGTCGAAATTCTATAGAATAATTATAGACTTTCTGTGAGAAACTTTACAGAAAGCATCTTTAGTTTACTTGTATTGTAGCAAACATAGGAGTTGTTTGCTGAACTGAACTTTAAAAATTTCGCAAAGTATTATAAAAAAATTTTAGTGAAACGTTGACATATTTTTTTTGAAGGGAGGAGAGCAGCCCCTCACTAATCGGGAACCATGTCTATGAATATTTTTTCGTCTATTCTATTTTAAGAATTCATGAGCAGATTGTTGTTAATTCAACTTTTTTTTATTACATGCTGATGAAAGACGATTAATATTAGAAGAAATTTACCGTGTACTTGTTTATTTACTCGAAAACAAAAGCGATAATGGTAAGATTACCTCCCAGATAGATAAGATAAGCACCATTGCCTGCTCAATATGTAACAATAAGAATATTTAATCATCAAACAGGTGCATTGATTTTTCTATTTTTATTAATAGAATGTTTGAAGATAGATATTCCTTAATAGAAATATTTCTTATTGAGATTTATACTGAAAATTTTCTAATGAAAAAAATATGTTTTGAGTACAAAAAAAAAGACAAATGAGCAGTAAATTGATTATGTGTGAAATTACAACACAAAACAGTATCTTTACAAAGAAAAACAAAAGATATGTGATGAAATGTAAGTGAGGGTGTGGATCAGAGTTGGACACGGTTCACGTTTGTCGAAAAATGAATCGAACCGTGCCCATCTCTTATGTGGATGAGACCGACAGTGTGAATCTGACTACTCTAGATCCAAGCTCATACTAATCCAAACTTTTGTGTTCGATAATATTTAAATTATCATATGAATTATGAATATGACTCGACCTTATGACAATTCAATAGTTGTACACAACTATACTAGAATTATAATTCGTTTATGATATAACTGATCACATTGTTTTTTATTTTCTACTAAATTCTCTCATTTTTTGGTTTTCAAAACACACCTCATCCTTTTCTAGTTCATCTAAGGACAATATTCGAGGTCAAACTTTTATATTATCAAGAGAAAAATTTACATCAGAATAGAAAATTGAAATGAAATATGTGTTACATTTGTTAACATAAAAATCCGTTAATGGACTGATAGAAATTTAGTTTTGACAGAGATCTTTCCATATCTCTTTAAAGTTTTTATGAATGGAACTTTGTGCTTGTTGTTTCTTTCTTTTCTTCCATGGACAAGTGATTTGAATATGATCTAAGCACTTTTAGGACGCCAATGGTCGACAGTTTTCCATCATAATAATATTATTGTATAAAACTGATTAGATAGTTTGTGAAAAATACCTGGTATGGATGTTTTGTTTTCTAAAAAGGCTCTTGTATTGTGTTGGATACAAGACCCATTTCAACATTGGATTTATCACTTGGAAAATAAGTATATTCTTCTAATGAAATTATCATCAGTTTTATTATTTTACTCAATGATAAATGAGAAAGCACAAAAAAGATAAGAAATTGGTTAAATGTTCTACAAATTCTTGGTTTTATAATTGTCGAATGAATAACAGCGAACGTCGTATCTTGATTAGAAAGGTGACATGAAGAATGATGTTGTACTATTTTATGAATAAATCCAACTCGTATGACTACAGTTGCAGCATTTCATTTCATTAAGAAAAAAAAGAAATTGCGAAAAAAAAAAAGAAACATTTTCAGGGATAATTGAACAAAAAATTGTAGCATGTGATAAACTATATTCAACAATAAAAACTATTTTATTTTGATGGAAATCATCAAATTTGAAATGAAATTGTAGAAATGATGAGGTTTTTTTATTTAAATAAGATAGAAGAAAAAGAAAATTTTAATATAAAAGACAAGGGAATCTTTAAGATGAATATTGATACTTTACATTTGTATTTATTTGTCTTTTTTGACCTGTATGAATTCTTCCATTAAATCGATGATTAGACGTAGGAATTTGTTGCAATGATAGAGCTCGTTGATTTGAATGATAATTAAAGTTTGTTTGACAACAACAACAAAATAATTTTCGAAGAATTTTTGAAAAACTTTGTCGAAATTTTGAACAAAATATCGCATAAACAATTGGATTTGATGCTGAACTTATTGTTACTAAAAGCATTGTAAAAGCAATGAAATAAGGTGTGTTGATAAATTGTGGAACAGGTCTAATAATATTTGTTTGAAATAACATAAAAACAAGAACTTGTGGACTAAACGAGATAAAATAAATAATTACAACAATAAAAAGCATTTTTATAACACTTCGACGAGATTTTAATGCATTATAAGTAATTGTTGTTCGACGTATGGGATAGGAATTTTTAAATGGTTGATCAATTAATGGACATTTATTTTGAATACGAACTTTTGAAAGATATATATTATTTTGTCGTAATAAATGTCGAGAACGATGAATTGATGAACGAGATATTGTATCTATTGTTGTAGATTTTGTACTTGAATTTTCATCATTATCTGTATAATCGTCTTCATCATCAATATAATCCTGTTAAAAAAAAATTTTTAAATATATTTTCAAATAAATCAATAGAAAATAAAACAAAACCTGTGTTCTATGAGTTGTAGATTTTCCAATTGTACAATATGATGTTTGAAGTGTTTCATCAACATTAAATAATTGTCGAGCTATTCTTATATAACAATAAATTTGTAATACAAGAGGAACAAAATAAAATATTATTGATTCAAACGATTTATGAATTATATATCCACGTTGATTTAGAAAATCTTCTTTAGAATATTGAAGACCACATAAACGACTAGATGACTGAGGATTTATTAATATACGTAAATAAATTAAATTAGGTGATGCACATATAAATGAAAATATCCATACAATGATTGTTGTCAAAACAATATGTTTTTTTTCACGTAATAGTTTTGAACGAAGTGGATAAACAATACCAATAAATCTGATTAGAATAAAAAGAAAAAGCTTGAAAATATTTTACGAAAAAAGAAAAAGCACAATAATTAAAACCTTTCAACAGTTAATGCACACATGTTAAGTACAGATGAATATTGTGCGAGAACAAGTGTTGTTCTAATAAATTTACAAGCAAATTGAGTAAGAACCCAATTTCCATTATTAGATGAAACAAATTGAACAATATCCGGCATATTAAATAAAAGTATAATAAAATCACAAGAAGCAACACGAACAATAAGTTGATTTGTTAATGATCGTCTCATTCGGGCATCAAATTCAACTGATATAATAACTAAAAGATTTCCCAATATACCAACTATTGCAATTAAAATAAATATAAATGTTAATATATGATTAACATTTATATTCATTGATTGAAATAGATTATTTTCACTTTTATTCATTTTTCCATTAGAATTCTTATTATCTAAAAACAAAACAAAAAAAAACAAAAAAATGATGAGTTTCAGACAAACGAAGATGATTAGAAACAGATCCTCTTATTTCTCTATCTTATTTTTCATTATATTAACTTAGAGCGACAACGCCTGTTTTCCTTATAAACATATACACTACAAATAAAATATCTATCTTTCTTCTAATAAATATACAACCTTATTTAATCTCTCATTTTGTTAACATACTTAGTCAAAATACATTTTTATTCAAATTATTATATTTATCAATAAAGACGTAGAAAAATATTCAGTTTTCGTATAAATAAAATATATATAATAATCTAGTCATCGATTAACTAATGTAACAACTATCGAAAAAGAATTCATTTTTTTTAGTGATAAAGAAATAATTAAAAAGTTCATTAGTGTAATCTTCTCTTTTTGGTTTCTACATAAAAAAGAGAACATTTTAAATAATCTAACGAGTATATATAAAAAGAAACAAATAACTGCGTATCCATAAATTATATAACTGACTATCCTATAAATAATCTAATTGATATTATCGAGAACAAATATACTCAATAGGATATAAAATATTTTATGTATTTTCTAAATATAAAAATCTCGACATCATCTCTATATGTCGAAGTTGCTTTGATGCATTGAAATAATTAATGAGAAACAGGTCACGATTATAATGATAGTTCGACCTCCTACGATAAATAATATTCTCCATACGTCTATTTTTATTCTTTACTACGCTATTATTTGTAGATGAATAACGATGAAAACTTTTCTCGTCATCATGAATGTGAAAAAGATAATCAGATATGTCTATAATAATTGTTTTTCAGCCAGACATACAGACAAACAAGCTTAACAAATATATAAAAATAGTATTTGAAATATATTTAACAACAACAAGAAAATATAATTCACTTGTTCACTTAATAATGTAAGTGAATGGAATATGTTATCAATATGTTTCCTTTTATGCAATATTTACCAGTTTTCTCCCTCTTCAAAGATTAATATCAAATGGCTACAATGACCTTTTTTTTTTTCTTAGTGTATTTACGGAATGTCTCAATGATGATTATATATCTTTAGTTCTGTTACTAATCACATATATTGTTTTTATGTGTTATCTATTGAAAAAAAAACAACAATGTTTTTCAGAATAAAACAATAGATTTTAACTTTATATGTAAGATATTTCATTATATCAAAATTTATAAATCTCTTTTATGTAATTTTATTTTTCAATGGTTTCCAACAGGATAAAATGATGATTTATGTATTATTTAATATTTGTTTTATGAAATAATTCTAATAGACATTTTATTTCCAATATAGACATATATTATTATTACTATTTTTCACTATTGATCAATCATATTGTTAAATATTTAGACTTAACATATTTATTCGTCAAAGATAAAAAAAAAGAAAAAGAATTTTTTTCATTCAATATTAAATCGAATTGAGTTAATCAACTTATTCTGATTACAATACAATAGAGAATTAAATATATTATCGATTTTATCTACAAAACAGAAAATATAGTTAAATAAATCTTACCTATGATTTCATATTGAAAACATTGAAAATATATTTAATGATATTGAAAAAAAAATGTAAATATAAATGAAAGATATTTTAAAA